AGATAAAATTGTATTTTCCGAAAGTTTTAGTAATGTGCCAAAGATTATTGAGATAGCAAGGGGAATGATTCTATGAAATATGGAAGGCAATATTCTAAGTCATATAACTGAGGTGTTTTAGGAATGGTTACTTCAAAGTTTATTTTAACTGCTTAAATAAAAAGAATAAAAAGAAAATATCAAAACAAAATCTAATTCATTCTTAGCCTTTTAGCTAAGAGCAAGTGTGAAAACAGTCAACTTATAACAACAGATGGACTACTTAAACTAATTTCTCCCATATTTCATTCCTTTGTAGTTTTTGAGGGAATAAATAGAATTTGAGGAAAAATTAGATAATTTACATAAAATGACATGTGATGCTTTACTTAAAAAATGCATGGATCAGAGAGTTACAGCCTTCGTGAACAAGACCTGATTCATTAGAACACATTAAAATGGCTACCGAAATCATTATGAAAATTAACAAGTAGAATAAATTAAATTTATAAGACGGGTTTACAAGCTGTATTCCTACTGATGACTTTTTTGTTAGCCAGTAAAGTTACTCTAAATAATCCAGTGAAAGATCCAGGACACGTGGCCAGAATTTTCTACATTTTGTTTCTGTGGTCACTGATCTTTAAAATTTTTATCAGTAAACTAGATGATTGCCTGAATATTTTGCTCTTTATATTTTCGAATGACGCTAAATAAAAAGAATAACAGAAAATTGCATTTTGGAACCTACATTATGATTTCAATGTTGAAAATAAAATAGAGTTCAGTAAGGAAAAGCAGAGGGATTTTATACCATGGCCACACTAATAAACTTTACAAATAAAAGAGATGATATGCAAACAGGGGAGAAGAGATACTGGGCTTGACATGTAACAAATTGACAGAAAATCAGCAGGACTCACTGAATTAAAAAGATAAAAAATGCACATATAAGCCGTAGTAAAACTGTACTATAGTAATAAATACTTCCAGGAGCTTTTCCTTTTTTACCTAGCTCCCATCAGATAATTTTAAACTTTGCATTGTCTGTGATACCTAACAAAAGAAAATGTTAGATTATCCAATTCAAAGGAAAGTTAAATAGTTATTGATAAGATTATAGAAAGCTAAAGAAATTTAAATAAATCCTGTACTATATTATTTTTACCTAAATGTATTCTGAGTTGGGTTTTACACTATGTCATTCTCATGATACCAGAATTATTAGAATCCTTTTCTGTTACAACCACTACCTTGAGAGACTATGATTTTCTTTTTCTGGATGTTAGCAAAATGGATTTATTGGATGTTCGAAATGGCAAAAATAAGTTGCTCCAGATAGGAAGACAATTTAGTGTTAAATGGATAATGTATAAAACAACTTAAAATGCTAAAAGTGTCAGTGGTCTTTGAAAGACCATATTAATTCTGTTCCTGTCATTAGTATTGGAGTGTGAGTAAAATAAAACAAAAATGGTCATATACCTTACGTTCACAGTCAGAATGTATTTTACATTGCCACTTAGTACACACAAGTATGCAAAAAACTGAAATAAATGTTTTGCAAAGCAATAACTTATACTTACTGTCTACATGACTGCCATTCCATTCCATTCTATTCCATTCCATTCTATCCTATTCCATTCCAGGTTTTGAAAAGTACTCTTTATTATCTTCTAAGCTGATTTCATAACCCACTAGTGGGTTGATGCTTGCAGTTTGAAAAAAAAAAGCAACCAGACTCTAGCTTCAGGATTCTCCTGAAACCATTCTTTATTTAACTTCACCACGAAATGTCCTAATTGGTACTGACGTTAACAGTACCTTTACCACAGATTACTAGAAAACTAGAACTGGAAGAGACCCCAGAGAGAGATTATCTAGCTGTCCCTCCATGTCCCTGTTTTTCTTTTCTTTTCTTTTTTTATTTTTAATGGTGCATTATAGAAACTTTACAGTGTATGTATAGTAGAGAGAATAGGACAATGAGCCTCATGTATTAATTAATTCTTCCTCACTGCATTATTTTGAAGTAAATCCCAGACATATCACTGTATCTGTAAATACTTTAGTATGTATCTTTAAAAGGTAAGGGATCTTTTTTAAAAAAGCAAATTCAAAATATCCTTACCGTACCAAAGAAATGTTGGTAATTCCTGATGTCATCAAATATCCATTCAATCTCTGATTGTGTCATAGTTTCAAAAAATCTAGATTATTTGAATAAGATACCAAAGTCCGTGCACTGTATTTCATCGATACACCTCTTCAGTATCTTTTCATCTATAGATATCCTCCTTTTGTTCTTGCGTGTGTGCGTGTGTGTGTTTATTGTTGTTGAAGAAATCAGATATTTTGATATTGTGGTCATTTAACATATTTCTCTGCCCCTTATATTCCCAGTAAACTTGTAGTTAGATCAGGAGGCTTAAGGTTCTGAATGTTGGCAAAAATGCTCCAAAGAGAGTATTTTGAATTTCCTATTGTGTGGCGTCAGTAGGCATATTATGTTTGCTTGTCTTGACTTCTTGTGATGTTAAGATTATCAGTGGCAAAAAAAAAAAAAAAAAGATTATCAGTGGCTGCAGGTCTTATGACCCTAAATGTATCCATTATTAAAATTCACCATCAGCCACCATCTAATGGATCATCCATTGATGATCTTTGAGTTGATCTGTTACTTTGTTAAGCATTTCAAAATGGTGATATCCTAACTCTATCATTTTGCATTTATTAGTTGGAAATTTCTATAAAGAACTTTATCTTAGTTAACTATTTGATTTCCTATATGACTATTTGGTTGTAAAGAAAGGTGGAATATGCTTGATTTTTTTCCCTTTATCATCAGATTTTTAGGATGTTTCTCTAGACTTTTCCAAAGGTGACCTGTCAGTTTTTGGTTTTAATTTTTCTTTTTAGTATCATTATGAACCAATGGATTTAAACATGTGATTTACTTCACACCACTGAAGTTATTATCCTATTTGTTGCTCAAATTGTTCCATCTTTGGCCAGTGGGAGGACTTTCAAATAGACTCTAGAGACCTTCTGACATGATCCCAGGAGTTATTGAATTTCCAGGCCTACAAGAGTACATTGTCTTTCCAGACCTAGAGTCAGCTCTTTCTCCAAGCATTGGTCAGACTTTGAAGTTCTCAGATAAACAAGTTAAATAACTTGATTAAAAGAAGCTTGTTGGAAAACCAGTCTTTAGGCCAGTGCCCTTTTCACCATCTGCTGCCTCTACAGATTGAAACATGCAGTGCGAATTACCTTCCCCGTAGCTGTAGCCCCACCCTTCTTCTTTTTGTAGAGTATTTTTTCCACAGCATAGGTTGATAACTGCCAGATTCTCACTATCCCAGCTTCCTGTTGTTTGAGGTTAGCCCTGTGTCCTGATTTGGACATTGAGATGTAAGGGGACGGATGCTGGAAACATTAGAATTGATTTGTAATGTTACCTTAAAAAATTGGTGTGTTGCTTTTGAAATTTATTTTTCAATATTTAATTTTTTAAAAACTATTCAAAACAGCTCTTCATGTTCCATACCCATAGAAGGTACGAGTGGTCTGGATGATAAAAAACAATGGATAGTTTATAAATCATCTGTTTCTCTTTGGAGTTGCTTAAATGACCTTTAGCAGATGCAGATTTATCTCCCTAATTATGTTTAGTTTGGGGTAATATCTCATAATAGATAATAATAGTGCTTGCTTTGCACCAGGAAGTGGTTTAAATGCGTTCGTGTATTAACTTGCTGAATCCTCAAAAAGATCCTATGAGGTAGCTGTTACTATTCTAAAATTACAGTGGGGAAACTGAGGTAAGGAGAGTTTATAGAACTTGTCTAAGATCACCCAACTAGTAAGTGGGAGAGCCAGGATTCTAAGCCAGGCACTCTGGTTCCAGACTATATTAAAATTGGTTTCTGTTTCCAGAGTACCAATTATACTAACAGTAGGTGGAGGTGGGCTAGAAATGTATTTATTAATAGAAGTGGATTAAAATATAGTTGTTCTTCATTTTGTGGCTTCTGTTTAAAATTAGTACATTTAGTTCGTGTTACTAGAGTCAAATCTAGGACCTTTTCTTAGGTATCTAAAATTGCAGGCAGCCCTATAACATATTGATTTGATTTTTCCATATTAAAAAAACTTGCAATAAACCAGGCACAGGGGCTCATGCATGTAATCCCTGCAATTTGGGAGGCTGAGGAAGGAGGATTGCTTGAGGCCAGGAGTTCAAGACCAGCCTGGGCAACATAGTGAGACCTCGTCTCTAAAAAAGAAATTAGTAGTCCCAGCTACTGGGAAGGCTAAGGCAGAAGGATTGCTTGAGCCCAGGAATTTGAGGCTGCAGTGAGCTATGATTACACCACTCCACTCCAGCCTGGGCAATAGAGTGAGACCCTGTCTCAAAAAAATGAAACAAAAATAGGAATAAAAATTTAACAGACAAAATTATTCTGCCAAATTGTTATGAAAGTTTCTAAAGCATTCTCTTAATTTTTTCAACAAAGAGTTTGTAGTGTGACAAGGGCCACAAACCAAACTTTGAGTGGCAGTGCTGTATCTGGTTATGTCCTAGAAGTCACAGATAAATATACATACATAGGATGGATGGAAACAGAGTCTTTCCTAATGTTATGAAAATTGTGGCATTGAGGAGAGAAGAGTTGTTAGCTATGCCGTAGATAAGGAATTAGCACACTATGGCCTGTGGGCCAAATCTGGCTAACCACCTGCTTTGTAAATAAAGTTTTATCAGAACACAGGTATACCCATTCATTTATGTTTTGACTACAGCAGAATTGAGTGGTTGCAACAGAGACCATATGATCTGCAAAGTGTAAAATATTTACTATGAGTTCCTTTACAGAAGTGTTTGCCAATTTCTACTTTAGGTTTGAAAATGATAATTATGAATGATTACTACTTATATATTGCTTGTTTCCTTTTTTCTGACTATATTACCTTTGTTTAAATGTATTAGACATTTTTGTTTGACTTTTTTCCTCTAGTCACTGATGTACCTCAAATAAATTTGGAGAGAAGTAAAGAAAATGAACAAATCAAGAGTGATCAAATAATGAAGAAGAAAAAAACACAAAAAGATTATCAACCCAACTATTTCCTTTCCATTCCGATCACCAAGAAAGAGGTACTATTTTTTAAAAACTATTTTTACTATGAAGTTTTATTCTAAATTATATTTAAAGTACACTAAACGCATATAAGTCCACTTGCTCTCAGCTTCTAAGACTCTTTGGTGGCATTTTAGCAAGACCATACAGGGAATATTCCTGTGTAAATAATAGGAATGTATTTAAACAATAATTTTGAAAAAATGTTATTTAAACAATTACATCTAAACAATAATTTTGTGAAAGTCACTTGAAGAAGTATCGTCAGATGGCACATCAAGGTCCTTTGCAAGCGTTTGTTCACTACATTAGAGAAATCCTTTGGAAGGAGAGAGCAGTGATTGGCTGAGAAAAGAGGATTGTGAAATCTCAGGAAAGTAAACTGGGGTTTCTTACTGCTTTTTCTTCTTTATGGTAGTGATTATTGCAACATAGTTTCTTTAAAAATTGCTCATTGTTGTGCAGCTTAATATTGTACCATGAACTTGCTAGAAATCTATTAAAAATCTGAAAAATTAATGTGGTGTGAATAATAGGAAATGGGACCAGCCAATTAGCCCATCCCGAGAAACCCTTGAGAGAGAAAACTATTGTATCTAATTACAACCACTAACGCAGTGTGGAAGGAATTAAAATGCCTCAGGAAAGAACACCTCACTTGGAAGACTGACTGTTTTTACATCTTGGCCCAATTTAGGAGCCAGATCTGAATTTCTGTTTGATTGTGGATTAGCATCTCTGTGACCAGGCACATTTTCAGGTTGCTTCTCACCTTATTTAACCAGAAAGTCTCCAGGGAATGCTAATGAATTTTTAAAAATCAACCCAAATTGAAATCAAAGAAATAAATATCAAAAGAAAATTCTGTTGGGGGCATTCTAGGAAATATTTAGTCTGTGAGGCACAGTTTGTCTGGGAAGAAAAGATACATGAAAAGAGAAAAATTGCCTAGCCATAAAAGATTTTAGATTTGATGCAGTGAAGAATCATATTCTGATTTTACTGATACATATTTGATTCCTTTGCTTGGTTAACAGTAAAATAGTCCTTAAAAGTGTTTAGGTGGTACACAGTTTAGTGTAATCTGCAATTTTATATTAAAATATTTGCAAGTTGTTTGGATAGGTTTTCTTTGAAATTTAGGATCATGTATACATGTGGGGATTAGCAGAGCTCAGGGAGTGAGGGATGGTGCTGCTTTAATGAGCAGTCAGACAGAAGCCAGGTCCTAAGGAGCCTGAATGTCAGCCAGTTAAAGTGGCTTCCCTAAGGATACAGCATTTGTGATTGGAAGAGAATCCAGGTTCTTTGTTTTGGTTTGTTTCTTAGAGATTGTTCCAGCACAGTCTCTCTCAATGTAAATGTTCCAGAAGCACTTCTGGGAGTTGCTCTCATTAGGCCTCTCATTTTATATTTCTCCCTTCACGCCTCTGTTCTTTGCCCCCATGGTGGACTGAACAACTCTGCATCACCCTCACGCCTGCCCCCGCTCTCCTAGTGGCCTCGTTCTGGTTTCTTACCTCTTCCAGTGAAGCCTGGAAGATTGGGGTGATGTACTGGTGGGGTAGGGAAGGTGGGGAAGGGGACAGAGAGGAAAGAGAAATTCTTTCGTTCTAGGGTTTAGACCACAAGGGTGTTGGGAGGAAGAGGATGAGGGAGTCCTGTCTACAGTGCTTAGTTTTCACCCTACAAGCTGCTGTAGCCTTTGTTTCTGCCTCTCCACCCCTGTGAGGCTGTGCAGATAGTGGAAAGAGTGGGGGCCTTGCAGTTCAACAGACCTTGTTGGAGTAGCAGCTGCGTCACAGACTGCTGTGGGTGTAGGTCAGGTTACCTAATTTCTTTGCATTTCAGTCTTTTCGGGTGTGGAATGAGGTAGATGTTAATACCTACTTCAAATGATTATTTTCTAAACCCAAATCCGGACATATTGCTGACTTGCTTTTACAATTCAGGATTTTCCCGTTGATAGTAGAATAAAGACAAACCCTTTAGCATGCTCTGTCAGGCTTTGTCTGTTCTGCCTTCTCCACGTCAGCCCCTGCTCTTCCTGCTCGAGCCCCTCTGGCCTGCCTTGGACTTGCCAGGTTCCCTCTGCCCCAGGGAAAGCCTTCTCTGGCTGGGAGTTTTCTCTTCCCTCCTCTTGGTTTTGTTAATGCCCAAATCTCAGCTCAAACCTCTCCACCCGTGACCGCTCTGACTAGGTCAACTGCGCTTCTTTCCTCGCCCCATCCCCCCAGCTAACTGCTTTCATAGCTTTCTGTTTGTCCTTTGTCATTCTAGCAACTTGACACTTCCTTCTTCCCAAGGTTTTTAGAGCATTCCCAGCACCTAGACCAATGCTTGTGCAAGAGTAGATGTGTACACACACACACACACACACACACACACACACACACACACACTCATTTCAAGGGCGAAAGTATGTTTCTGCTGTAACAACTTATAATCAGCACACTTAAAAATAATAAATACAATGTTACCAATGCTGGTTTCATAATATAGGTTCAAGAGCAGTTATTTGTTTTCAAAGAGGTAGGGTGATTTACAATAGTGGGAAATGCAGTTTTCAAAAGTGACCTTGAAACCATATAATTTGATGTTTCCCCCTCAAGAGACTTGTTTGTAGTTAACAGCTTAGAAAGCTTACATACAAATATGAGGAGAAGATGTAGGGATTGGGCAAGGTTAGGAGATATCTTTTATATCTTCTACATGAGTACCTTTTTTGTTTGTTTGTTTTAAAGTATCTAATGATAACTTTCTTTTTAAACTACTTATGAGCTTTTGTGGGAAGGCTTGGGAAAAGAAGCACCATTTATAACATTGTTTCAATGGAAGACTGTATTCCAAGTTCCAATTAAGTGACCTGCAAACAAGCTTTTGGAAGCTAGCACATTCACAATGAGTTGCTCTACTTTTGGCCTCTACTTGTTGGCATCTAGTTTTAAAGAAAAAAGTATTCGGAATTACACAGGTCTTTGATTTTAAACACATTCTTAGAAGTTTGTAATTCATTATTAATGGAATATCTTCATTTCATATTTTTAGGCAATAGAATTGGAAAATGAATTAAAGTAGTTGCATAAAAACATCCTAATTGGAAGTATATGAAAGTATGTGTTTCTCTGTTAACCTGCAAACACATGTTAGTTTGAAAATAAGAAAAAATTCTGATGGGGTTATAATAAATCCTACATGTTTCTTAAATGGCTAGAATTGTTTAGTTATTAATTCTAGCTGGATTTACCCACATGTTGATTTGTATGCTTTCTTAGATATTAATGTAAAGTAAATCAACATTGAAAAAATATAAGGCATAGTCAGAAGCTGGTTGAAATTAGGAATATATTAACTTTTTTTGGTATCTTTTATAAATGTACTAGTGGAAAAAGATTATTTTCTTCAGGGGTTTTAAAAAGCATTATTTACATTTAATTCTGTAAAATTTCATCATTTTAGTAATGTGAAAATTGCTGGTCTTAATGAAAATGTGAAAGTAGATTAGTGCATTTAGTATTTTTCTGGAAAATGTAATAGTAAAAGTATTTGATATCATCATGTATATGTTAAGCACTTGATAGATATAGAACATTATTTTATTTGAGGATGACATTTTTACTTTTACTCCAGTTATTGCTATATGATCAGTTTTTCAAGTTCTTTTCATGGTTGTGGACAAGCAATAAAAATGAGACTATTCAGCTTTAAAGACAAGTTAGATAGCAAATTGATGTGATAATTCCAGTAAATTTGAATGAGGCAAGAAATTTGGGAAAAATATATGTAACAGCTTATAGAAATTCTAAAACCAATATCAAAAGATAAAGTCAAAGACATTCTCCTACCATGTACTAGAATGCAACTCTTTTCTCTCATGCAGAAGCATACTAACTTTGAGGCATTTTCTTTGAACTCACATATGATTTGAGTCAATTAGAAAGCTTAAAAGATATAGCAACAAATTACATTATTTTTAGGCATGTGGAATATGGCCTAGTGATGATGTTTAGCAGATGAGTGTCTGCTTTTATTCTTTTAACTCAAAGAAATTGCTCAATGAATGAAATATTTAAGATTTCAATAAAGCTTTTATTTTTGGAAGTTTCTTTCACTGTCACATTTAAATTTGACTTTATAGTATTAGGTTTTAAACATGTATTTTGTACGATACTGCCAATGGCTGGGGATTATGGTAACAGATAAACTTTAATGACTTAATGGCTATAAAAATTAGTTTCCTTTGGCCTTTGATGACATTGGTACTTTAAAAAAATGACATATGAAAAAGACTCTGAAGTATTTTTCTTTTTCTTTTCTTTTTAAGAATGTAACCAGGAACAGAAAGCATTCACAATTTTAAGATGATGTCAAGGAATACATAAATTAATTTAGAGCATCAAAGCATACTTAGAAATATATTGGTTGATTATATTAACTTTGAAATTTTCATACATTTGAGGCTAATCCTGCATTATGAGTAATAATAGTCTTAAAGAGAAATAATAGTCTTAAAAGTATTTTAGTTTTTAATTTACAATTTTATAAGCTACTGGGTAATTCAAAGATATTAATACTAATGGTCTAAAACTGTGATACCATGTAGGCATTGTACTAAAATGGAGAATATACAAATGGATAGAATTTTGAACATTGTCCCGAATTTATATATAATTAGTACTTGAGCTTAGAATAAAGACTAAGTTATTAAGAAAATGCAAACATTCTACCCACCAGGTACAAATAGCAATCCCCTTCCCCCCAAATTGAGACAACTAAAAATGTCTCCAGGTATTGCCAAATGTCCCTGGGAGGCAAAATTGCCCTGGTAGAGAACCACAGATTTAATAACATTGTTGGTGTTGTAACTTTATATTAGGCAATGGAATAGAGCTTACAAAGTACTTTCATGTACTAATGTGATCTTTAACCCTGTTAGTTTGGCAATGCAGGTTTTATTATTCCTATTTTGCAGTTGAAGAAACCAAGGCTTATTGAGACTAGTGACTTGTACACCTCTAGCAGACCTTGGATTAAAATCCAGGATTTCTGACCTGAGTCTAGCACCCTTAATTTACATCACTCTGTAACTATAGTTCCTATCTTAAGCCACTTTCTTATCATAAAGTAAACCAGAATAACCATTGTACCAGCTGAGATTTGAAGATGTAATTACGTTGTTTTGAGGTCTGACATTTTGAGCACCTACGATGTACTTGACATTGGGCTAGGCCCTTTCCATATGTACCTGGATTCACTTGAGCTACTCCATTATTCTTGTAAGCCAATCTCAGCACTTTATTGCATCTGGAAAAAACTCGGGAAATTACAGTTTAAAATCATTGCAAAGTAATGCGGACTTATGCTAAAGGCTTTTTTAAAGATGGCCAGTGTATTCCATTGTCTTAGTCCATTTTGTGCTGCTGTAACAGAATACCTGGGACTGGGTAATTTATAAAGAACAGAAGTTTATTTCTCACAGTTCTAGAGGCTGGGAAATTCAAGATCGAGGGGCCAGCATCTGGTAAAGGGCCTCTTGCTGTGACCAGAGAGAAAGTGAGTTAGAGAGAGCAAGAGGGGGCTGAACTTGTCCTTTCATAAGGAGCCCACACCTGAGATAACAGCATTAGCCCCTTTGTGAGAGCGCTGCCCCATGACCCAAATACCTCCCATTAGGCCCCACCTCCCAACACCCCCACGTTGGGGACCAAGTTTCCACCACATGAAATTTGGGGGATACGATCAAACCATAGCAGATAGTAACCAGAAAGGCTTGCTGAAAATCCCCTTTAAATGTCTCTTCCCTTGGTATTTCATTTCTTAAGTCAGTTCCCACATCTCTGCCCCTTCTTTTTGCCCCCTCTCAAAAACAAACTCCTTGTAACTCTGTTGGCCTTTTTTCTTACGCCATTGCTTTCTAGCTACTTCTCCTCAACCCTCCTGAATCTTTTCTTCCAGGTGCCCCTCTCATCTTTTCTCATATGTACTTTATTCTTTTCTCAAGCTCCTTTGCTTTGTGTGGTATATGGTCTTTAAGGGATTTTAAAAAATCTGTGTTTCAATTTATTTTAATAGAGATAATACCAATATCTACCTCATAGAATTATTGAGAGGCTTCATTGAGCTAATATATGTAAAATGCATACTGTGGAATGTAGAACCTAGTGAGCACACAATAAACATTTGTTGCTTTGCTGCTGCTGTTGTTTAAATATTGTTTTTATTATTAACACCTGGCATTGTGGTGAGACAGTGGTGTAGAAGAAATAGACATTGTCCTCAAGGAATTATAATTTACTTTTTTTTTGAGACAGGATCTTACTCTGTCACCCTGGCTAGAGTGCAGTGATGTGATCATAGCTCACTGTAACCTCAAACTCCTGGGCTCAAGTGATCCTCCTGCCTCAGCCTCCTGAGTAGCTGGGACTACAGGCATGTGCGACCACACCTGGCTAATTTTTTATATTTTTTGTGGAGACAGGGTCTTGCCATGTTGCTCAGGCTGGTCTTGAATTCCTGACCTCAAGCAGTCCTCCTGCCTCGGCCTCCTAAGTGTTAGGATTACAGGCGTGAGCCACTATGCCTGGCCTTACAATTTCATTTTATTTATATAAAGTAGAGAAAACGGTGACTCTATAAAATCTTTGTATACCATTATGCTTGGAGCATTTTATTTATCAGGCTATCAATATTCTTTAATTGGGTGTCAGAAGTGACATCTTGTGTTGGTAGATGTTATATTAGGTGTCATTGTGTAATTTCCTACTGGGAAAACCATTTCTTCTGTTAATCTCTTTTACTTACAAGGCATAGGGAAAGGCTGAGGTTATTTTGGGTGATGTGGATTTACTGTAAAGGTATATGATGTTAAAGAAAAAAATATTCATGACATCTGTTAAAGATGGTAAGGCAGACTTCATTCAAAAAGGGGCCATGGTGATAGGTACAGGGACCACTGCACTGCAGTCTTCCGGTGGGGCAGAGAGATTGAACTCAATTCTGACTCGAGCAAGGACAAGTGTGGATTTGTGCCAAGGAGCAGGGTGGAGGTCAGTGGATGGAAAATTACTTAAAAGAAACATCAAGAATAAGGAGTTTCTGGCTAAACTGACTTGATAGGATTATCAGTGAAGGCAGGCCAGGGTGGTAAGGTCTCTAAGACGGATGGTCACATACAAAGGTGGTATCTGACTTAGTAGGATTCTTGTTCTAACTGTATTCTATAATACAAGGAAGAGAGAGAAACCCAAGGTCTGGCCTACTCAGACACAGGACTCAGAGGAGCCAGAAATTTTAGTCAAAGGAGAGAGTCTTTGTCAATGAGAAGTCAGATTCCAGGACCGCATCTCATGATTTGCCCAATCACATTCCACAGATAATGGGAACATTGTTCAGGATAAAACAGCCACTCTAGTATCAGAACAGTCTGCTATGCTCATGATTCAGTGTTTTCTTATCTCTGCTTTTTTATGGGTACTGCTGCTGCTGCCCCCACCCCCACCCCTTCTCTGTTACTAATTCTGCTGCATCGGGGCCTTCTGTTCCCTTAGGGCTTCTATGTGCTCTCTCCTCTCTCTCTTTCTCTCTCTCTCTCTCTCTGTCTCTCTCTTTTCCTTTCTCTCTCTCTTTTTCTGGATTTGCCATTTCATGTTCAAACTGCTTTCCATTACAGTCACATTTAGAAGTTGACTAGAATTGGATCTAACTGGAAGTGGAGGAGGGAGGATGCGTCATTCCTCCTTCTGTTTCAGAGGAGTAGGTACTGAGAGGGAAGGCAGGTGGGTGACCAGGTCAGTGGGGTGTCACCTGGATGCAGGCTGTGATTGTTTTCCTAAAGTATGCATTTGAACTTCTTTGCAACTCTGTCTTCATGGTAATGCCCCTCCTCACATTTCTGGACAAGTGACTATAGTCAATCCTGTTGAAATTATTGCTGTCCTAAAAAAATCTTAAAGGTTATGAGGAATGGGTTCTCAGACACATTCATTTGGTGACAAGTAAATATTGCTTCTAACAGAAATGGAATGTTCTTTGCTGGTTTGACCTTTCTGTGGCAAGAATAAAGTCTTTTTCTTAGGAAAGATCATAATTATTGAGTCATATTGTGTATTCCAAGGACAAATTTCTGAAAAGATGCATGGTCATTGAGAGTTTTTCCACTAAACCACTGATCTGATCTGCAAAATAAGGGTGTTGGGCTCAGTGTTCTTAAGATGGACAAGCATTCTGTGATTTTTAAAAAACTTATGCATCCTATTAAGCTGTCCAAGTCAACTATCTAGGATGTTTGAGAACAAGTAGACAATTAAACATTTGTTTGGTGGACGTCTTGACATTGTTCTAATTTTGGTCATTGCTTATTTTTCTTTTTGATTTATATTTACCACTAAGAAATTTTCTTACCTAACCTCCAATGGGTCTTTTGTGTGTGTGTGTGTGTGTGTGTGTGTGCGATTAGATTACAAGAGGAATTAAGATCCTGCAAAATGCAATAATACAACAAGATCAGCGACTGGCCAAAGCAATGGTTGGTGATGGTTCCTTTCATATTACCCTGCTAGTGATGCGGTTATTAAATGAAGATGAAGTAAACATGTGAGTAATATAAATTTCTTGAATATTATTTTCCAAATTATTACTTTAATATGAGTAAACATAGCAGAACCCCAAGAGGCATTGGAATTCTAAAGAAGTATTCTTTATTATAATTTATCCCAATTAATAGTTAATGTACATAAGTAGCTATATAAATATTCTTCTATTTAATCTAGACTTTTTTTCTTTGTTAGTGTTATCAAATGGTAGCCCTTGGTTGTGTAATTGTTTCGCCTGTGCTCGTTATATAAACACTCTGGAATTTGACCATTTAGGTTAGGATTCTAGGTAAAGAGTCTGGAACTATGGCATAACCACCTCCTATTAGCTGCCTGACTTTGGGCAAATCATTTATTTTGTAAGTAGATGGAGAAAATAATAGTAGCAATACATGCAAAAGCTCTTTGTATAGGGCCTGGCATGTAGTAGGCACTCTATTATTAGATATTAGAGCTGCCATTTTACTATGCCACTGGACAATTTCAGTTTCACCTTGGTCATTCTTAGAGTTCCTCTACTCCATTTCACCCTGCCCCCATGCCAAGATAGTGCCATGAAGGTTGAGTATGAGTCATTGCCTTCTAATCTGGAGTGGAGAAACCTTGCTCTTGCCTCAATTCTGTGGGACACGCCATCTGTACCTAAGATTCTCCCTTTCCCTGTTTTCTCCTGTATAGTCCACTGTCTTAAGATCAAGCTTCAGCTCTTTGGAAAACCAAAGCCAGAGTGAATTGCAGATTACTTCTGTTTTCTACCTTGAACATATATGGCTCCTGAGGGAATGAAGAACAAGGCTTGAACTGTGAAGGGGATGAAGAAAAGGAAAAATAAAATGGAGAAAACAAAAAAATTAATAACTCAAAATGTCCAGCCCCATTATGATTATTATAGTTATGTCTTTTAAATAGTAGAATCTCATCTCTTTAGAGATCAATCTTTTGATCTGTCCCCAGCTGATCTATTATAGAGCAGCCTTGAGCACCCTGCAAGAGGCAGAGAGGAGCAGAGATTTCACTTTTCTTACTTTTGCCGATTACTTTGCCAAGCAATAGAAAAAATAAATGCTCTCATGTTCCTGAAAAAAGAGAAGCCAAAGAAGATGTGGCCCGAGAAGATGACAGACTGAGAGAAAAGAGTAGTGCTCTGTGTGAGTTAGAATGGTATATTAGTCAGGGTTCTCCAGAGAACCAGTAAGATGTATATCTATATAGCTATCTATCTGTATCTATCTGTGTAGACATATATATCTTTATGCAGAGAGATTTAAGGAATTGGCTCACATGATTGAGGGGGTTGGCAAGCCTGAAATCTACAGGGCAGTCTAGCAGGGAAGAGTTGATATTGAAGTCTCAAATCCAAAGACAGTCTGGAGGCAGAATTCCTTTTTTCTTAGGGGACCTCAGTTATTTCTCTTAAGGCCTTCAACTGATTGGATGAGGCCATCTCACATTCTGCAGGGGCAGAGGTGTCAATTTTCAAATGTTGGTGAGATTCTAGGTGTGGCTTCACTTTGGGCAGCTATATAGTGATAGTGAAATTGATCAAGTTTCTGGGACGACATTGTTTATATGAAGGATTTTTTAAAAGTCTCTAATTTTTAATTTTTATCTTTTATCCCATACTGTAAAATATGCTAGACACTTAGATTGTCA